CCCCAAAACCCCAAAACCCCAAAACCCCTCGTGATACATTTTTGGTAGAAATAAAGTAATCAATAAGTTATCAAATAAGATGGGCAATTGACCAGAGTGGTGCTGCAAGGTAGATCAGGTTGAGGTAATTTCAAGGAATAGTAAGTTTTTATGACAGATTTAAGCACTGGAAGGGCTTATATGGAGTCTAGTTTTATTTTAGACATGGAATTTTGATTTAGTTTAAAAAGTTAAACTCAAAATGGTATTTTAGGTTTTTGAGAGAAGAGTTATTTTTGAATTCTGATTTTATGGATAGGGTTGGAGTATAAGATGATTTTAATCAATTAAAAAGTGTTGTTAATCCCTCTCCATCCCCTTCCCTCCCAAAAACCCTTACAAATTCCTCCTCCAACCCGCTTCCTCACTTACCTCCTTCTAGATATTCCAAAATTTTCCAAAACTTCCTATTGAGTGGAAGAAGACCACATTTTTTATGAGAAATTTAAGGACAGGAACAGGAAGTTAATGCAGCCTAAGTAGGCAGTTAGGTGAATTTTAGATATTGGAATTTAATTAGGGCGAAGTTGTCAGTGGAGGTGAAGAACGTTCATAAGAGATTGATGATGTATGAGTATTATCAGAGGAATTGAAGGGAGAGAGGGAGGATGTGATGTTTTAGTAAGGTGTTTTGAGTGTTTTTGGGGTAGATATAGTAGTAATTTTTGTGATGAATTAGATTAGAAGGATAGTGTTAATAAGAGCCTATATGGGGAGAAGATCAGTAGCTTCAAGAGTTTATCATCTGGGCTTCTTAAAAATTCCACTCTTTGTTCTGTTGAGAAGGCTCTTGTGTCAATCTACCAAAAGTTTAACACTTAATCAGGGAACTAGGCGGATTGTATCTAGCTAAGTGTAGTTCAGCTTTTATATTAGGAGATGTTATAAAACGCTCCGGTCTAATTTATCCTCCAGTCTGTCTGGGGCTTCCTCCAGAAAAACCCTCAAGTCGGCTTACTACACCATCAGATCAACAAACCCACCTCCCTTCGAGGTTGATATGTTTCCAAGCAAAACTCCCTTCTTCCCCCAAGGTTTCCGCAATGAAATTTTTAGCTGCCTACATCGACACAGAGTGTTGCAGTTCCTTTTTTGTTGTGAAAAATTCTTTGGTGTGCTCCCATCTTATTGGTTTAGCCAAGCTGATCAGTTTTGGGAATTCAGGATCTTTTCTGACAACTGGAGGGAGTAAGAATCAAATTGAGTTGCCACTTAAACATGGGTATTATATGGGAGAAATTAATGTAGACAAGAGCTCCTTTGAAGGTAAAGGAGCTGCTCTTTTTCAGACAGGAAGTCTGTATGAGGGCACTTTTCTTGATAATTTGCCTCACGGACAAGGCAGAATTATCTACCCAGAAGGAAGTTATTATAAAGGACAGTGGCAGAATGGTAAGAGACACGGAAATGGAGAGTTCAGGTCATCTAATGGTGTTACTTACATCGGTCAATGGTATAAAGATTATAAGCAAGGGATGGGGCATGAGTTCTTCCCTGATGGCTCTTATTACAAAGGGGAATTCAAGATGAACAAATACGAAGGTAAGGCAGAGATTCTCTATCCAAACGGAGATAAATATTTTGGAGAATTTAAAGGAAACAATCATAATGGGGAAGGCATTCTCTATCTAGCAAATGGAGCAAGCTATGAAGGAATGTTCAGAGACAACTCAATCCATGGCTATGGCACGTATAAATATGACAGAGAAGGAAATAAGGTATATAAAGGTAGTTTCAAAAATGGTGCTATGGATGGAAAAGGAGTTATAAAATCTACTTCTGGAGATACACTTTATGGAACATGGAAGAATGGCAAAAAGCATGGAAAATTCAAGTATGAATCTCCCACTCTTGTTACAAAATATTGAGAGTATGAGAACGGTAAGGTGTCTCCGATGGTCCAATCAAGTGATATTCAAACCAAAGAGGATACTCCTCAAAGAGGTTTGTAGAGTAGAAGAAAGATGAAGTAGTAGATAGCTCATTTTATGTTTTTATTTAATGTGTTTAAGTAAAATTAAGAGGATTTGTTATTTTTGGATTTCAATAAGAAATAAATTTTTGGGGTTTTGGGGTTTTGGGGTTTTGGGGTTTTGGGG